CCCATACCCAATTATTCTATCCCAACATTAGTACTAGACTTCCTTGTCGAGAAACTGAGTAATTGTGTTGTGGATTTATATCCAATTTGTTGTTGATCTAGCAAACCCAAAAAAATCACCATGTGTTGTCGATTCGATAGGGTCAAGTCACTTAAATTACTCATCTTGTGTTGTAAAAGATCTCCTAGTTGAAATATATGACAACACATGTAGTTGTTGTGTTGAGCAAATGGTGTGTTGAGTTGATTGTGTTGTTCATATGCTATGTTGATCTATGTTGAAATGTGTTGATCTATTGAAACTAAATTGTTGTATTGATATGCGTTGTATAATATGATGTCTTGTATTGAAGATATGTTGTTTCTTTTTACCCTAATTTACCCTTACATGTTTTCATAAGGTTTGAACAACAATCATATGTGGTATGAGAGTAGAGTAGGGATAGGTCTATAGTGTTGTAGTGGAGGCCATGCAATGGCATTGAAGTTGGATGTTTTGTTGACTACCTAATGATGGTAGACTTGTATAGATAGTAGTAGTTGATTGACCGACAACTTAGATTGTATAGCTTACATTTATTGAATTATTGTATTTATATTGCGCATATTTATGTAGTTGTTTATCTTGATATGCATGTAATATAGTACATTCTCGTATATGTAAGTCAATTGTCTTAGGTTAGATATTTTTCGTTGCTAATAGTTGTATCGTATGGTATAGGGATTAAGGCGGGTTATTATAATAAATACTTAGCACTAATAACAATAACATGATTAAAATTATTTTTATTATATTCAACAAATATCATATTTAATATATTATACAAAATTAATTGTTCAATAACATTAAATACTATATTATATAGTATAATATGAAGTCAAATTATTAAGTTACATTTATTAAATTTTGTAAATAAAGAGTTTAATAAACATACATTAACATATTTTACATTATGAATTAATTAGGAGGGAGTTGCTACGGTATCCTCAAAAATCGAGAAGTTTCAATACATTTTCTATGTAAACTCATAAAAGATTTAAAAAAATTAATTTAATTATAAAATAAATAATCTAAATTATACTTATAAAATAAAAAGTAAGATAAAATTATAGAGATATTAAAATTATAATATTTCAATAATATTATAAAATATTAAAAAAGAAAAATATTAATAAATAGTAGAAATAAAAAATTATTAAAATTACAATATAGAAATTCAAAAATTTAAGATAAAAAGACAAAAAATATACTTAAAAATTTATTCAAATTAAAATATAGAAATTCAAAAATTTTAAGTGAAAAGATAAAAATATACTTAAAAAATTATTAAAATTAAACTATTTAAATATATAATAATATTATTACAAATAAATTATAATATATAAAATAAAAATAAATGACTAAATAATTTAAAAATTGAAAGAAAAAAATATCATAAATATTATTTAAATAAATTATTAAAAATATAAAATATAAAAAATTGTACCAGTACTCTTTCAAATAAGATGGATACCATAAAATTTCTCTAATTAGGATCATTCTTTTATAATTTTTAAATTATAAAAATTAAAACTATTAGGATCAACATAGTGATAAAGTTAAATAATATGTATAAGATTCTATGTTTGAACTTTGTCATCACCACTATTATAATTCTTACAAATAAAAATGTTGATAAAAATCACCATATTTATTGTAAATGATAACTTGAAATTTAATTATAATATAAAAAAAATTATGTTTCCATTATATGTATTATGTCTTCATAAATATATTATATTATGTTATATTCTATCAATATTAAAATTATTATATTATACGAATATAAGTAAATTTGATTGTCTAAAAATATTAAGTACCACATTTGGAATAAATTTTTTTACAATTATATATATTTATGTATTTATCAATTTATTAATATTATATTAATATTTTAATGTTTAATATATATTTATATTTATATAGAGAGATATGAAGAAAAAAATATAGGTTGAATAAACATATATTATACTTAGTATATTCAACAAATATGACATTTATTAATATTCACTTTAGATAATTATATATTATATTAGTTAAATACAATATACAGTCAAATTAAATAACATGATTAAATATTTAAATGTTATATTTACTCAAATGAAAGGGTGAATATACTAAATACTATAAAACTATATAATATATATTAATTTTTATTTAATGAATAAGAAAAATATATTTTTAAAAAAAGATATTAGAAGAGAATTTAGTTTTATTTTAAATTTAACCTGACGTTTACATAATGCATGTGATTGGATTGGAGAAGAATTTTGTCACGTACTTGGAGTCATACAGAAGGAGTTGGGTTCACGAGACAATCCTAATATTGGAGGAATTTGAAGGCCTTGGCTTCGAATACTATAATCTTCTTTGTCCTTTTAACTGATATTTTTCTTGTGAAAGAAAAATAATATTTCTTTCTGCACCTTCTATTAATCACATGAACTCGTATATATCCGAGAGCAAGTAACGGAATGATACATGCATGCATTTTTTGTAGTATAATTAAATAACAAAGTTGTGTTTCTCGTGATGAAGGAAGACAATTTTTGCTGAGCTGGTATTAAAAATATTTCAACTTAATGAAGATTCAAGTGTGAACGCCGAAATCAATCTGATACTTGTCACCATGGATTAATAATAATAAAATAAGTAAGCCACTAAAATACCTTATTCCTTTCCCCTATAATCATATCACTTATGTAATAATAAAATAATTTTACCTTATCTTAACACCAAAGTAAAAATATTATATTTTTTTGTGAATAAATACTAATTAAATTGAATATACTGCTTTCTATATACTCTTATTATAATATAATTAAAAAAAAAACAAGACTTTGGAAAGTGGAAACTGGCAACATCCACCACGCGTTTAAGGAAAGATACTGTATCCCCGAGGCAAATCGGTGGGCAATAAAAAGGTGTAATTTTATTTAATTTAATTTAATTTTTGCATGCAAATATTTGGCATGATTTGGGCAACATGCAGCAGAGACTGCTAAAATGAATTCCACAGAGGAGATATTAAGATGTAAAATTGCAGTGATTTGGCAGCCTGTGAAATCAGAAAAAAAAAAAAAAAATAAATAAGAAAATGTCATTTTTCATACTTAAGGACCAAGCGATGCTGTCGGTGCTTCTTTGTGGTCAATGAGAACACACCAAACTCATACTACTACCATACCACAATCTTTACCTTTTTCTTTTTCTTTTTCCTTTTTTACATATTCTCTTTTCAAAAACAATACTATATATTTCTCTTTCCATTTCAATCATTATTAAAAAAGTTGAAACTTAACTCATTAAGACAAAGATTTATTTCTAATATATAAAAATAGAGATTAAATTGTACACTAGAAGTGTTATTTTTTAACAAAAAGTTAAATATTAATTTATCATATAATAAGTAACTTGTCTTTCCATTTAAGTCTAATTGGTACTTAATTTTGTTTATGATAACTATATATAAGTGTAAAATAATTAGATGAGTATTTGTCAAAAAAAATTTGATTAATTACCTTTCATAAAATCTTTTCTTCCGACCATAATTCTATCAGCAAAATTAAACGTAAAATTTTAAGAGATGTAATTCAATACACGTTGTTGATCGTACTTAATTTTACCTTTTACTTTTGAATAACTTAATTTTTTAAAAGAAAAAGAAGTAGGAAAAAAGGTGGAATAGGAGATATTTTTCCCAATGAATATACATTTTTAACCTTGCTATGTAAGGACGGGCCAACAAGGCCCATAAACCGACAAAAAGTGGTTATTATAGGGTCAGATGGGCCAGACCCTATTTTGAGATGGAGCGTTCCAGACCTATCGATGTGCGGTCAGTTTTCACGGTCATGAGACGTTCCTCGATGCTCTGGCTCTGCCTCTTGCACAGGAATAAAACGTCCTCCATTTTTTTTTAAGATTAAATATATTTTTAGTATTTAATTTTTTAATTTCACCTTTAAGTTTAAATAAAATCCAAAAGAATTTAAATAAAATTTTGACCATTCTTTTAGTGCTTAGGAACTAGTTGAGTAAAAGTATCTAGATGGAATTAATTGCAATTAGAAATTGTAATCTTTTAGATGAAACTTTGTCAACAATCTTATTATGTCATTGGTGCCTTACCTGATAATATTAATGTGCCTTACAATCATGTGTAACAAATACTATGCAATCTTAGTATGTCATTGGCAATCTTACTACTTTACATCTTACAATCATGAAACTTTATAAAACATCAACTACTCAACACATGAATTTCAACTTTAACTTTGTCATGTGTTTCTCAAATCAATAGCATAATATCATAAAGAAACTTACAACATCATTAAACACCTTTTGATTAACATAACAACATGTAGCATTTTCTAACTCAAGGTTTATGCACTGTACGAGATTCGTTGAACGATCCATGTTCATTGAGCAATCCTAGCTCTAGTAAGGATATCTTGCTCAACGAGTTTCCTTATTGAGCAACCTCAAAGTAATTTCTTAGAAAAGACCAGAGCTTGCTCAACCACAACTCACAACTTAACAAGCTCCACAACACCAAAATGGCAAGGACCAATCCTAACTCAACAAGATCGCCTCACTCATCGATCAAAAATGGTCACAAAAGCTCACTTAGTGAATCCACCTTGCTATGCGACAACATCTAGGCCAATTAGAGACCCAAACTCCCTCAGAGACTAAATGCTTCTTACGCGAGCTTCAACATGTTCATCAACTTTCATAAAGCAAAATTTTATATAATTTTAATAATCTCATTAAAAAAATCTTTTTTCATTAGAACTTTGTATTAAAAATATGTTCTTAAAATATAATTTCAAATAAATAAGATACTATCATCAAAGTGAAGTTAATTAAAATTCACTTATATCTTGTGCTAGCATACATGTTTTTTCTTCTCTCGTATTAGAGTATAGAGGGAGCAGATAATACACAAACTTTGATATGCTACGAACACTAACATCAAATAAAAAGCATTATTCCCAATAAAGTCAATCCTTATCGATTGATTTTATGAACTCGGAATGTCAGAAAAAATGAGCAGCTGTTTGTTATTGTACACAGTCTCCAGGGTTGATGAGGCTGCAAATCCTAAAATTACAAGTATACAAAGCAGCAAGGGATATGGGCATCCCAATTTTCAGAAAGCACAATAACCAACCAGCATGAAAAAATATGCTTTCACCTTTTCCTTGTATATATAAATGTGGTTGTACAAAATTTCAGCTTGGCCTCTACACTAACTTGGTTAAATTAAACTCGCTTCAAGTACGATAATAAGCCTAAGCCGGCAACAAGTGCAGCTCCAGCAGCAGCGGCACTATATGATGAGGCCCATGCATCCGAATAAGCATGACTTGATCCTGAACGAGAACCTTTCACATTACCACGTGCTCCTGTGTAATCTAAATGCAATTTCAACCCCTGCAACATTCATCAATCGCACGTTAAACTCCTTTTAAACCAGGCTTATACCTATAAATATCTTTACCATGAATGACAAGTTCAAATGTAAATAAAAGTTTTAAGGAGAGGAAATGTAAAACCAGCTGTCCTTGTAGACAAATCTACTATACCTTCAAACCAGCTGTCCTTGCGTGATCCACTGCTGCCGCAAGGTCACTGTCTGAAGCCAATACAACTTTATCATGATCTTCGTCTTCATACTACAAAGGCAAATATGGCCAGCTTTCCTTAGAAGAGGGTAACATATACACTTAACCTCAAGAATATAAAATATAATGTCTTAAAATTAATGTACCAGAATTTGGGGTATGTTGTTAGGATCAATATCATCACCAAGTCTCTGAAGGATTGAAGTTATAATCTCCGTCATGCTCCGGGTATCTGAAGTTGCAAGCAACCATAGTTACCATACAAACCACTCAACTGATAGTTTTCTACTCCAACCTAATTTCCTCAAAATAAGCTGATCTTATTGCATGCAAGAATACATTACTCATAGAGAATGTAGGAATGCCTTTATTCAAAACAAAGCTCAAGCAGACAAGTTTCCCTATTAGTTATTACTTATTTACTACAGCCCTGCATATCAATGTACATGCAAGTGCAACCTAATCATATTCAAGTGAAACTTATGAAAGGACTAGATATAAGCATATATTGAAACCATCAGTTGTATGCTGTCACAGATGGAAGGAAAGTATACCACATGTGAATCTGTGCATTCTGCCCTTCTTATCTTGTATTTTGAAAGAAAATGTATTGGGCATGCCTAACGAAAGATAAGGAACGGATCTCCCTGTTTCTCCTCCCTCGGAAGTCAATTTCAAGGAACTGTCACTGGAACATAATCAATAGTGTTTTAGTATATTAATAAATTGCAAATATTCCTCCAAGCAACTTAAATGCATATAACCTTCGAGAATCATCGTCATCATCATGTGGAGTTAAGGCCATGGCTGAATCCCAAAATCTTTGCATCAAGGTGGTTGCCGCTTCATTGTTTCCAACCTAATTAGTGGAAGAAAATGAAACCATGACACCATCATTAAAAATCAAAGAAATCTTATGTATATAAAGGAATTCTGGTATCATAATGTTTGCCAGTTAAGAATTAACATCAGCAATACACTCTTAACTCTATTTAGTAAGGGAATCAACAATAGAATGATGTCCTTAGGAGAAAAATAGTTGAATCTTTTTCGTTTTTGTCTTTAGCTACGAAGCACAAATACATGTTTTATGAAAGAAGCTTGCACATTTGCCGGCAGAAATATTTCTCCCCCAATTGGGTTTGAGTCATACGAATTCCATTTTAGTTTTCAAGTTGAACGCTGGGATATTGAGGCCACATCCCTGATCCCTGATGGTTGTTGCATTTTGTAGCACCAATCATCAATGTTTTTTAAATTTGCTAGTCTAATCCCATTAGGAACTGCAGATTCTCTGATCCATAATATTTCAATTTTCTTTTATTATCCAATCCTCTACACTCATGAAAATATTAAAAATGAAAGAATAAAGATGCAAATTGCCTAATAGTGTGTTTGGATGGAGAATTTAAATGAAGTAATTTATTTATTTGAAGAATTTCAAATTCTTTGAGATAAAATACCTTGTTTGGATGAAAAATTTATAAAGAATTTGAAATTCAAGCATTTATGAAATTCTTTGAAATAGTAGAATTTCAAATTCTCCCAAAAAAAGAGAATTTAAAATTCCTCATATTTTTTTTCTTCTTATTTCACTTATATATTTTATCTTATCTCTTCATATTTTTAATTATTGAATATTCAAAAATATTTTTAAAATTATTAAATATTATCTAATATTAATTTTTAAAATTATTAAATATTTAAAAATTAGCTAATATTTATTTTTATAAAATTTAATTTAAAAATCTCAACATATAAATATATTTTTAAAATCAATTTTACCATGGTGGAATCAAATTATCATATCCAACCTAATAATTTAAAATAAAAAAATTTGAATTGACTTATCCAAACAAAATATTTAAGGAATGATAAAAATTGAAATCAAAGTAATTCAAATACCAAGAATTTAAAATTCCTTGAATTTGTAAAATTCCTTGAATTTGTAAAATTCCTTGAATTTGTAAAATTCCTTGAATTTGTAAAATTCCTTGAATTTGTAAAATTCCTTGAATTTGTAAAATTCCTTGAATTTGTAAAATTCCTTGAATTTGTAAAATTCCTCGTCCAAACACACCAAGATTAATAATCATTTGTAGCTGGTGAAAATCATTCAGATTCACAAAATTCCAAGCAGCTAAATGGGGGATAACCAAAAGGTAGCATTTTAACAGGTTCAGAACCAAATGCAGATTCTAAAACAACTCAATTTATGTTAAGATATTTTCAATTCATGAACAGCACTTTCAAACCTACATTAACAATATCAATAAAACCAAATCAAGAACATGTTACAATATTTTGCTGACAAGAATCATTCTATAGGTTATGTCATGAATAAAGCAATTTATCCCATTCTCATGCAACAAGGATTCAATAGTCTAATCAACAATGGTAGTGGGTCAACACAGTACAGTCCAAGATAGATAATACAACCTGACTTACTGTCGCCACAGCAGCATGAGTGACATGAATCACATCCACCACAGCAACTACATTGCCATCTGTTTTTCAACCACCTAACCCAAATCAGAAAAAAATATTGATGCATATACCTCTCAATCTTCCCTATCCCTTATATTAATTACATTACCTCTGTCAACCACAGGAAGATGCAAAAATTTTCCATCATGCATAGTGTGAAGTGCATCAACAATGGGTGTATCAATTACTACGCATTCTGGATTTGGAGTCATGACCTGCATATTTTGTTGCATATTTATCAAATTAGAGCAACAGTAAAAGGTTGAACACTCAGAATGGCCCATTTTTCTTCAAATACTATAGAAAACATATGATCTTAAACATTACTAGATATAGAATTCAAAGAATGGAAAAAGTAAACAAAAGCAAATTGTTTCGTCTAAACAACGTAAAAATAAAACCAAGTACCTTCTCGATGGGAGTTGACTGTGGAGAAAGATTTTGTGCAATTACCCGCATCAAGATATCCTTTGAACTGAAATTTGTAAGCAGACATCAAAATTAATCTAAGGATACAATGACAGTTGGGGGAAAAGCAAAACATTTTCAGAAAAAAGAGGACAGTTGGTAACGTCAATGACTACAAACTTACGTAAAGATGCCACGAGGTTTGTTATTAACTGTCACAACAGCACAACTTGCACGAAATTCAACCATCTTCTTTGTTGTTGTCAGAACTGAGTCTGTTGGTGAAACTGTTACAGGCCTAAAAAGTGCCATTATCTGTTAAAGTAACTTGGATAGTAACAAAACATGCAGACAAAAAAATTATGTAATTTTTTTCTTCAACTCAAACAAAAAAAGGTATTACCTACTTTGAATTCTCGGGAATGATTGTAGACAACAATGGCTTGAATATCTGCTCCCGAAGAGTCTCAATGAATGATGTATTGGAGTCTGTGTAAAGACCAAATCAGCATGAAATAGAACCTAATATTTAAAACTGTGAACCTAACTACACCCCTAACGTTTTCCATGTACCCATCATAGAAATCAATGAGCCAAGAATGAAAAAGGAAAAAAAATCTACAAAGCAGAACCTGATGTTTCCCAGTGTTTTTCAACTCCTTCAACAGCTGCTGCAATTGCTTTTCCTTTCTCAGCTACCCTTTCCATACGGGCAATGGCATCATACAAACACTTTGCTATGTCTAGTAAAGCCAAAACTTCTCCATTTTCCACCACAGGTAAATGTCTGAATTTCCCTGTCAACGTATACAACAGCAATGTATTCAAAAGATAAGATACAGAATAGTAACCAACTTAAAAAGTTGTGTTTCTCAATATACACTACCAACCTTGCACCATCTTTTGAAGGGCTTCCGCAGCAAGAGTTTCAGAAAGGACAAATACTGGGTTCCTAGTCATAACTTTGGAAACTGGTGTGTCTTCAAGATTAATCTCTTTGGCAATAACTTTTGTTGCTATATCCTACATTTTACCGCAATATTGGACAGGAAGCTGTGTGTAAGTTAATACTGCAGAAATCCAGACATAGACTTAACTATCTTTCCATTTTTAAAGGCGAGAAAAACAAGTACGAGTCATACCTTATCTGTGAGGATTCCACAGAGCAAACCATTAGAATCGGTCAGTAATAGAGCATCCACTCTACGAGCAGCCATCCGGCGGCAAGCCTCAAAGACAGTTGTTGTTTCAGGTACTGTCAGGGCCTTTGAAAGTCGCAATGATTTCACTGTCCGCTCTCCCGCTAATGCCCTGATCCAATTCCGTGTGTGAACAATACACCGATGATTTAAATGGATAAAACTTTCACAAACTTATCTTTTCTTCTTAGAGACGCAAGCAGGAGCAACCATTAATTTGCTTAAAAAATAATATAATTGAGTGCATTTGATGACTCATGAAATTTATTCAAGCTTCTCTAGTCAGCCCTTTAGACATCCATTGGTATGCTATAAAATATGCAATGTAATTAATGAATGCATATTCTTATATATATAAGCATGTCATGATCATATACCTTTGCAACTGACAACTGCCTCATAATTATAAGGGGGAAGAGGAGAAATTCAAATGATTGTATATGGACACAGTCCGTGTTCACCTTTTGGGTTCAACAGTTCAAATTTTTTCCGTGCAGTCCACAAACACGATGTAATCATGGAGACATGGACTATATCCATAGAAGAATTCCTCGAGGTAGATGACTATAAATAGGAGAAAGAATAAAGTACCAGAATTAAATTTGTTTATACATTTTTATGCCCTTTTAGACTTTGCAAATACGTAAAAAAGTTTTTCAATCAAGTACTAATATCGACTGAAGAATCATAAAAACCGATTATTGTAAACCAACCAATCAGCCAATCCGATAACACTTTGCAAAGCCACATTTCTTTGACGTAGACACTTTGAAAAAACTAAGTTTTACAATTACGGCACACATAACCCAAATAGCAGCTCAGAAAAGCGAAAACCATGGAAGACCGCAAAAATCGCCACCGCTATAATTCCTTAATATTTCAAATTATCGTAAGGTTAACTTTTTCTTTTAGCACTTCAAACAAACAAAAAAAAGATAGAGAAAATGGAATCAAACAAACATATGCAAGATAGAAGGATTTTAATTATTAAACACGCAGTCAAATAGGGATTAATTAAGAAAAACTTTAACAATCAAATTAACAGTTCGATTGTTCGGCCGGCCACCGGAGCACAAGCGTAGATTATTACAGCAGCGGATATTAATTAAATTCTTAACAAACAAAAAAAAGATAGAGAAAGTGAACAATAATAACAACATACATAGGTCGCGTAGACGAAATCGATTTTCGAGAAGTCGCGTGAGGCACGCCTGATTCAGAGGCTTTCTTCGTCGACGAAAAACTCCTTCGAGAGGCGCCGGCTTGACTTGCCATATCTTCCCCCTGCTTCAATATCGCTGCAGCAAAAATCAGATTCAAACTCGCATCAAATCGAACACACAAACAAAAAAGTTATAAATTATAAATAAATAAAAATAAAAAAAAACTCCACGAAAGTCATACATACAAGCTAGCAACAGCTCCGAACTGAAACAGATTAGTTGAATTCGAAAAGCGAAGCGGAAGAACGGAAACGGTCTCGGTTGGCCGGAATATGACCGGAAAACAAGATTCCGGCGGCGAGCGGGAAGGAGGAGAGAGAAGGAAGGAACCCTAGAGAGAAGAGAAGAGAAGAGAAGAGAAGAAGAAAAAGCGTGGGAGATAGAGGAAGAGAGTTTCAATTTCAACGCTACTGCGATGGAGCCAATAGCGTGCGTGCACGTCACTGATTCCTTTTTTGTTGGAAAAGGTAATAAGTTAATGCTCCAGTAATAACCTCATGGGTGCAATGAATTTCTCATGTGTCACTGTGAATCATGAAATGTGAGGCGTGCATGGCTGCAAGGTGATTGTCATACAAGATATGTTTATTGGTTAATTTTAGTTATTTGTCTGAATGACCTGCTTCAGCTTCAGTTTGTGCGTAAGGTAATTCTAGATTTGTTTCAATTATACCATTTTATTAATATAATAATTAATTATTAATTATTAATTATTAATGCTGATTTTGGGTATAGCTTTGACTCGTTTATTTAAGTTGATCAAAAAATTAAAGCGGGAATTTGATTTGGCTAAAAAGTTTATGATTTTAAGTTTGACTTCTTGGTGGCTTTGTAACTTGACTTTTTTTATTTATTTACTAAAAATTAACAATATTTTATTAAAAACTGAAGAAAAATACTGATAACAATTAATTTTTAACCCATAAAGAGGCTAAATGTTGATGATAAAAATGGTATTTTTTTTTAAAAGAAGATCGTGATTATTTATATAAAATATGACTTTTAAAAGATTAATATTTCTGCTATTCTCTATTATAAGTGAAAAAAAAATTGATTTTATGCATATTAAAAAATTAATTATAATGTAAAAATATATAAATTAGTTATTTATATTAAATTTTACTAATTTTATAATATTCTTCTTAAATTGTTCTTGTTATAAATAGAAGAAAAAAAATAGTCCAATTAAAAGGTCATGCAATAAAGTGAGATTTTAGTGAGATTAAATGAGATAAAAGTAGATGAAATTTATTTATATTTAAGAAAAAAATGTATGTTTATTTTTCTTTATAATAGATAACGGAGGAAGTATAAATTTAATTTATGTACATTGTCAAGATAATAAAGTTTTACATTGTCAACTAATCAAATTATTTTTAGTATGATTTTTGAGATAGTTATTATAATAGTCAACAAATTTATTATATATAACCATTTATAATTAAATTATAATGTAAAATTTTTATACAATATAAATGCATAGACTATTTACTCAATTAATATTAGATAAATGACATATATATATATATATATATATATATATTAAATAATAATAATCATGATGATGAAAATATTATTTGTTATATAAAATATTTTAATGAAATCTTTATTTTGGAATTTTCTTACCGGCAAGGAAAAGTCACAGATTTATATAAAAATAATAATATCTTCATCTCATAACGTGAAAATTTAACACAAAAATATAGTAATGTTAACAAGTTATCAATGCATTGTAATGTATTTAAGCTTGAGAAATGTTATCATCACTCTTTCTTAAAAATCTCAAATTTTAATAAATTATAAGTATATCACTAAATCAAGAACAAGATTCGAGATGTAAAAAAATTATAAAATTAATAATTTTTTAACTAATAATAATAAAAGTATTAGAAATAATATACTAACATTCCTCTTTTAAGTTTATGCAAAAATTAAAAATAAATAATAATAATAATAATAATAATAATATATCATCATCATAATTATCCTCGATCACTACTACTATTCTATTGTCAAACAAGCACATTTAAAAGATGAGGAATGTTATATCCTCTAAAAAAATCTTCTGAATCAGCCAATGACTTACATGTATAGATAAAATATTTTTTAATTTTAATATTTTAAAATTTTTAACTTTTAGAAGATTTTTCGAATGTTAAGTTTTGGCGGAAGAATCATTTTCTCTTAAAAGAACACGTATAAACAAGACTAAGAAACTTTAGAGAGAATATATGTCAACCAGTGATAACGTCAACCAAATATATAATAAATCATGTAGTAATGTGTTGTCATTTAAGTTTTAAATTACAAAATATTAAATTAAATAATTATTTATAATATAATTATTAAAAAATGTCAAATTTTTATCTGTCAACGATGTTTCAGTCAGATTCTTTCAAAGGATATAGATTTTTTTTTTAAAAGTATATGCTTCTTAATGTTAGCTCATGTTGTTCAATTAGGTATTTTATTTAGGGCTTAAGAAAAAGATATTCAATATTTTATGGGTTCTATTTTTATTTTTTTATCAGAAAAAAAAAATTACAACAACCACGACAAAGATAGAGACGAAACCTAATTCTCGTATATCTATTTTTGAGGAAAGAACGTAGAGAATGTTCAAACAGTTCGGGCTTTTAAAAAGCGGAGCTCATTTATCCCCCTCTGGTACCCAAGCTAAAAGGGCAGGCAAGAGAGCTTGTAAAGCAAATACCTAAAAGTAGAAGTTAAGATTTAAGGGCAACTTCTGACTGCTTCCAGGTGTCCGATCATATTCATAATTCCTTTGAGGATCAAGTGAGTCATAGCAGATATAGAATGATTCAATACATTGCCAGCCCTGTTCGGTAGTTAAACCCAATCCATTTACCTAAAGCACTCAGCAACTTTTAGTAAAGACATGTAAACTTTTTCAGAAATAATTCTAGAAAAAATTAAAATAAAATAATTCTCTATAAATTAAAATTAATTTATGGACAAGTTATGTGAAAGTTCTCTTTTATTGACTTTTTCAAAATGTTATTTTCAACTCATGCATAAACTAATTTTAATTTATAAAAATATATTTTAATTTATTTCTTATTTTTTACTTATAAATAAACTTATCCAAATTAACCCTAACAATGGTTCAAGCAGAAACATTCGGTTACATCCTGTTGGGCTTCTCACTTCCAGAACTTCGGCTTCAGAAGGTGTGAAGTCAGTTTCACAATGTAATTATGATAGATAGACCAAAAACTGCATACAGCACAGCATAAAATTCTATAACCATTAAATACTATAAATTATCTGATGCGCCAAAAATAGTCAGATTGATGTCCACGGCTGAGGGTAAAACGGCATCCTACTTATATAAGAAATATACATTTTGAAAAGAAAATATGAACAGCATCTAATCTTCCACAGAGGGAGGAGTATACGACATAGCCAAGTAGACAGTGCTGTAAACATGTAGGCAGCAACTAATCGGACTTGCTCCTTGACATTGACCAATCACAGTGGTACAGGGACGCACCATTTCTCCACCACAAAATATTCCAGATACTGGCACTCCTGGAAAATTTTCCAAGAAAGGGGAGCTATCAACATTATTACGTCCAAAGAAGGATTCACCACGGCCGTAACAAGCAAAAATAAGACCCCCAAAAACATTGGTGGCGCTGTCTCCATCACCCTTGAAATCCTTGGAATTTCTTTCCAGTTTAATATTCTTGAGGGCATCATGGACCTTGGTTAATGAAGCCAATGCAGTATTAGGATCTGAATAGTAGAACTGAAAGAAATCTCCAGTTTTTATGCCAATGCCATCAACATATAGATACTCTTCATCACCTCTGTCCAAAACATGAAAACTTAGCCTTTTATTTTCAGAACAGGGTTGTTTACAATAACCTGCTTGATAATAATAAACTGGGGGGAATGAGGGAAGGGTAGGGAAGTAGGGGTCTCATACGAAGAAAACAATAAACGGCGATGCAATTTCACCAGAGGCTATGTACCTAAGATATGTTTTTAAAAGCCAAGAACTGTAAGTAAACCAATAATATTACATGAACGACGGGGAACAAAATTGATTATCTAATGGGACATGTCCAAGCCACAGGAAAAAAAAACCATATAAAACTTGGCTGTCACAAAAACTAATACCAACTTCATTGCAAATGTCAGAAGCATCGTCTCCATTTCTCTGTGTGGGCACCATTTTTCTCGTTAATTTCAAAAGAATTATTTCAATGATAAAAATACTACCATCTATCACACAAAAAAAGCTTATAGTTTCACTTATGTACACAAGTCTTGTGTGCATTCATATTTCCGTCTAGATAGAATCCATATGTTAGATAGGATAGCATAAAAGAATCTAGGAAATCGTGCATACATGCATGTCTTTTTCAAAGAACCAAACAACAAATAATGGATTAGAAGATTGCCTCTTGTTCCATACACTCAACATTCAAGAATCTGAAGTACAATATTATATAATTATGCATTTAGCTGATCCTGCCATGGTTTATAAACATAGTACATGATTCCCCAAAAGCGTAAAACAAATTTTTAAGATTGACATTAAAAATTCAACAAATCTCCAGATTTGTTAATATAGACTACTATATAGTTGATTGATCTACTTACGAGCAACTGTAATTCATAACGTATTATCTAAGCTAACTAAACCAAACTTAATATCAGCTGTTGAAAATGACTCAGTGGATAGAATAATGGGATTATAAGCTATAGCACATCCACACGTAGTTGTAGCAAAATATCTTCCAATCAATTCAGTCCTTTTTTAAAAAAATAAATAATATATATATATATATATATATAATTCTTCGAACAAATCCAGAGAAGAATTAACATCGATGAGGAAGTAGAAAATCTACACAGGAATTGTATACCATACCCCACAACTCCATGATATGCAATACATGTTCTTGGCATTGGCTTCTCTGCTCCAGTGGAGAATTTCCTGTGTTTAATTACACCAATGTACAAATCAGGAGACTCGATATGATTGTCCAGCTGTCACATTTTGCAAAGTTCAGAAAATTAAATTCAAATATAGGAAGAAATGGAAAAGAAAATTAACAACCACAAGCACAAAATATATATCAAATTACTTTTACAGATTTCAAGTTGATATGAAGTTTAACAACCACAGATAAATAATATCAGCCTATATTATCTCTTATTTACAACCAAAGAAAAATATATTATTTCTTACAACAAAAATAAACATAACAAATTTAACACCTAAGTGTGTCATGATCAGTAAGCATCAAATTACATACATATTGTTACTGCATCAAGAAAACATGTTGACAAAATACAAGAAAACCAGGCAGGTAATAGCCAGGGATTGTTTAGATGGTCAACTAGGTAATTTGCTGCTGACACAATTTTCTATCTTCAATTTCCTCTAAACAATTTTCAAAATCATGTTGAGCTATTGCATTATCTCCCCATAGAAGTTGAAGAAGAGAAAATAGTTTAAGATAGAAAACAATACAATGTTCGTTTTATTAGAGAATACCAATAGTTGGTTACAATCTAGCTACAGTAGATTAATAGTTAGAACAATTAGTCAGTTAGTTGGAGAGGTTTCATGGATGGGTTTGGATGGGAGGAGGGTATAAGGGAATGGTATTCAAAGTTGTTAGCAGTGAGAAAACAGAGCAGTGACTCAGTTGCAAGGGAAACCCTCGGAGAAGATATCTACTTTTTCTAATCAGTATTCAATCATCAATGTAGATTTTTTCTTTTTCTTTCTATCTCTGGTAAATTTCCCTTTTCTTATTTGTGCACTTGAAATAAGTTTCCACTTGTTTCAATTTAGATTAATAATAGGAAATTCCAAATATGCCATCATACTCCAAAAGAAGATAACATTCCTTAATTCATAATATACACTTAAGCATCATAATTAAAGATATGATCAGTTCCAAATCCATTAGTGTAGAAACATTTTATATCAATTAATTTTTCTTGCTTTGTTTATTTATTTCTCCTTTCTAAAATGAATTTTCAAGCCCCTTGAGGCATTAGTCTGATCAATAATTTAGAAAAAGAAAATGATGCAAGGACCATGGACCCCCACATGCTAGTAGACACCCAGAGAAAGAGAGGGGCGTAGATGCAATATGATCATATGATGTGACAAGAGAGACAGACAAATAATGGGTGCCAATGGGGTGTTTGCACTCCAAAAATATCACTCTTTAGAAAATGGGGAAGAAGGAACAGAACAAAAAAATGAAAGCACCATATTATGATTCCTCAAAATTGAACTAAAAAATTAATATTAAGGACCACTAAAATCTAACGATAAAAATCAAGTGACATAAGAAGTTTAATCATTGAAAATACATAAAACTTATTTAGAGACGAGAGCCATTATATTTTACTTGATCAATAAAATACCCTTAGTGAAAGTAATAATGCGTAATAGCATTCATTAAGAAAAAAATAACCACTCAATAATAAAAAAAGTCATTGGGAAGATTCCTCTAAACTTTAAGGATCTAATATAGAACTTCATTTACAATTGATAGCATCAGCAACTCAATCAGAATAAAAAATAAATAATATAGAACTTCATTTACAATTGATAGCATTAGCAACTCAATCAGAATAAAAAATAAATAAGCACTTAAGAAAAAACTATAGCTTTTTACAATGCCTTAATTTAAACTTATTTTCCTAAAAAATGAATTTGTAAATTTGCCCAAAATACAGACATAATTGCGCACCAAATTGTTGATATCAAGTAGAATACTCTGACCATCAAGAAGCTCCAGTTGCCCTTCCCTCCTAGCAGTTAGCCATGTTGAACAATCAGTGTTGTTTGGTCTAACTGAGGCTGCCTTGTATCTGGGACCCACAGCCGAAACACCATTTGACAATGCAACATGAAACCTAATAGTCCCTGTAGCAAAATCAATCCATAACAAAGTTAAGTAATTTGTAAAAAACAGCAAAAAAAACAAATTAAAATAAAATATTTGTAAGTGCAATATCATACCATATGACTCTGGAAACAACCATAAAAGTAGATACAAGACAGACTATTATTTAACATGTTCACACATCTAAAGGCAGCACAAAGAAGAGATGGAAGCATGATAAAGAAAGAAGAAAAAAAATTGGGGTTGTAGAAGCTTTTTGGACTAGTGGCACCTATGATGCATGGATACTCCAAAATTGGTGACATATTTGTATCCAATATTTATACTTGTATGATACACCAGCATTTGTACTCTCTGTATTTACAGACATGTCTAATCAAACTTGAAGGAAATCCTCATTTTCCTTTTCTTAAAACTTATTTAATTAACAGTACATTTTTATCATGTATAAATTATATATATTCATGAAAGTACAACAGTTGTCATGCCTTAGATCCTTTGAGGAATAAAAGGAAATACTCCTCATCAATGACATAGCATGGTATGCACTGTAGCAGTTACATGAATTATATAATGCATCAGGTGGAAAGGGCTACCAAATGCATAACAAGTCGTACCCAAAGACCTGTCTCTGTCCTGAGCAAATACGAGAGCAACAGCTTCTATGTTTCCTTTTTTACTACAAATGATTCCAGAATCATTCCCACTTTTGTGTACAAAGTCAAAGGAGCCTCGCTCATCACCCACAATGACTGTATCCATAGGCATGGCATAATCTGAAATAAAACACGACATCATTTTAGAAAGAAAAAAAATGAATGAAAAAAGCACAGGCCTGTGGAAAATGGATGTAACCTGTGGCAAATGGATGTAAATTTGAAGTCACACTCTGAATTACAAAACTAACACAACAGTACAATACAGTTGCCCCATCTAAATTCAAGTATCAAATTGCCATTGTGTATCCCAAATAAACATTTTGAAACAAAATATTTCAGTGAAAAGCAGGCAGTGATATCTTAAAATAAAATAGAATGTTGTGTATATAAATCCTAAGAAATCATTTCCTTCCTTACTCGTTTATCATACTAAAAATGAGGAGATAATCAGATAAACTTCACAGTCTACCATGCAAAACACCAATTTCGTCCTATTCTTTTCCTGATAAAGTAAAGAGTAAATGAGAATACGAAGCAAAGCATAATTAAAAAATACAATAACAGGTATATCAAAACATATGCATATAAGTATCACCCACCCAATTTCTCCAGAACCAATTTCATGTCACTGCTTGCTTCCTGTACAGTGATATCAGAGTGTTAGAAACAGAACCAAGAATGAAATAAATAAACAGAACCAAGCTATGAACTTACTCCAAACAATATAATCCCAACAGGGAATGGGCGACTGGAGACAGAAGCTGAATATTCCTTAATATCCTTTATAAAATTGTCAACCCATGGTACTTGAGATGCCTGGTATAAAAAATATGTAAAAGCATAAAGCAAACCCTTATTTTAATTTAACTATTCAATATAGATTGCATCAATATAGTCAAAAGATGCAAAGGGGTGCAACTGAGGAGCTGAGGTGAGGCAAGAGTAGTGACTCTTGCTGGTTGAGCTACACACTTCTAGTGCTTTACATGCCTTTACGGTTCCGAGTTCATACAAGCACAACTATAGCATCTCATTTACAAATATTAAATACCCAAAATATTTAGCCATCTAATATTACTGTGATGCTAAAAGAGGATCAAAGCGTCATAATGTTAGTCTTTGGGACTCCTCTGTTTTGTAAATTGTGTGGTTAATGATATGGAAAAAGATAGGCAAAAATTTACTGTTATATTCTTTTCATATTCATAACACCTTTCTTCAGGGACAGTGATGTGAGCCATCTCTAGCTTCCAGGTATGACTAAAACCCCTTGGCAGCTTAAGGGCGCCTTTTGCATTACACTACCTTGGGTTGTTACAAACCCTCATTTTCAAAAGTCTTCCTATTCCATATTACAAATTCATTTTCTGAGAACACGCAAGTCCAAATTTTCAAAAAGGGATTTTACTACCTTTGGCGGTCGTCGCAACGGCACAGCTTCAACCTTCAATCCAGGCAAGTAGCCAACAGTCAAAACTATGCCTTCATTTATAAATCTCGCGTATGCTTCCTCACCCAAGCCACTAAAAAGGGCACCCCATTTGACCTACACAAATCACCCACCGTTCATTCGAGTTCGCCAAATAAATCTCTAGCACAAAAGAAATCAAACAGCAAAACCCAACCTCTTTAAACTCATCAGTAACAGCGTCCCTTCCCATAATACCATTCGCCACGGTAACAATAACCGGAATATTGGACCCCAACGACTGTCTAATCTGCAACATAAGTATTAATCCAATTGCACTATAGCATAATAGTATAATACACACCAATAAAGCAAAAAAAAAAAAAGACGTTAATTCCTTACAAGTCGCAGAGTCTTGGACGAGCTGAATCCAGTTCCAACATTGGCAATAGCAAAATAAGGCCGAATTGGCTCCGACAGAACCTTGTGAACAACCTCGTTCACAGCATCCTGCTCGAATGCACAGAGTTAACCGACGTCGTTTTACCGAACCCTAATTGAGTGAAAATTGAGATAGAAAAGCACGTACGGGGAGCGAAGGGTTGAGGGAAAGCGCGGAAGAGAGTTTGGGGCGAGAGAGGATGCGATTGCAGAGAGCGTTCCATGTTTTGCTGACGCAGGCTGCGGAAGCGAAGGGCAGTGCAGGAAGCCTTGCTAGAATGTTCTGAAGAAGGTCCTCGTTCAGCGTACTCAAGCTCGTGTTTGCATCGCTCGAAGCTTTCACCTTCGTGCTCGATGTTCCTGGGGAGAACGACGACGATGGCTTCTCCATTGCGGTTCGGCACCACCTACGAGGACGCGATCAACACACTCTGGAACAAAACGCTCCCGGAACGAAATGGCGAAACATTTTGCACATGCGCTACATCTTGGGCCTTGGCCCAACAGAAATCAATTGCTTTTAGCCTTTTGTTAAATACAACTACCATTCTATTTTTTTTTCTTTATTTATTTCCTAAATATTCTTTTCTAAAAATTATTTTCCCCTTACTTGGTAGAGGAGGAGGAAGTATAGAGAATAAAAGGAAAATAGGTAAGAATTAATTTAATAAAAAATAGATGAAAAATAAGGTAAAATTTATAATTAATTTATAGAGCGGAATTATGTGAGAAATATAGATGAATTGATATTTTAAAATTATATTTTATTAAGTTAGGTTTTTATATAAAAATAAAAATAATATATAAAATTATCATTGTAACCTTTAATTCATTAATGTACCTTTTTTGTGTAAATAATGCATTATAGTGATAATCTATTGGAATACAGTGAGTGTGATTTTTGTCTTTTATGCATGTAATGTAATATCACACAAGATAGTGAAATATAGGTAGAAAATATACAATATATTTGAATATAGTCAAACATAATGCAATATACCTTATCATATTTGAATATGCTACGCAACATATTTGAATATCATACAAAAAAATAGTATCCATGCACAACTTATTCGAATATGATATATAGTAAAGAACATAATAGAATATATTTGAATATAATTAAATATGATTTGTATCATATTCAAATACAATACACAACAATGGTAACGAATATAGCCTTGCATATTCAAATATGGTTTCTTCAATTCGGAACCATAACTAATTATACTCGTGCAAATTTCAGTATTTCAACCACAAATAGTAATTTCATCATATACAGATAGTAGATTTATATATTTATTGTAAGAATGAGCAAAGAAAAATAAAGAGTAAAGCAACTAGATACCTTATTTACGTTAGACTAGTCACAATAGTGAAAACAAACATGAGTCACAAGAGTAAAAACAAGTATGGGTCATGGGAGTAAAAACAAGTAGATGATGAGTAATTAGTAATAAGTAGTTAAAAGAAAGTGGGGGCATTAATGTCTTTAGGCTAAACTCTACTTCAATCCCCTCATTTTGTAAGGTAATTACTATTCATGTTTCCATGTATTTTCGACTCAATTTCCCTTCTCGCGAGTGTCTTTTTACCATTCTTTTCAAATCCACTCCCCTCCCCTCAAATTCAATGCTACAAAGCATGGGATTCAAAAGCAAAAATATATACTTTTGGAAAGTAGAAACATAAAAGTACACATTCAAAAATACATTTTGAAAGATAAATAAATTTATTATTTTAAAAAGTACTTTTCAAAAGTATGTTTTACACTTTCAAAATTCACAAGGAAAACTATAATTTTTAGAAGAATAAAAAATAATACTTTTGAAAAGTACTTTTCGAATGTATATTTTAAGAACTAGAAAACAAAATTTTAGAACAATAATAAAAAATATATATTATTTTTATTCGATAATTTATTTGTAAAATTAATCGACTATACATGTGAAAACTGCATCTTTACAAAATTCATAATCTTTTATCAAATGTATGCGATATTGAAGATAACACAAAATACTAGAGTTTAAAAATGTTGAAATTAAGAATGAAAAAAATATGATTTAAAAAATAATAGAGATAAATTGGTGGTTGTGTTGATTATTGAGAGAAAAAATCAAGAAATAAAAAGTTAAACTGAAAAAAGACATATGAAGAGTGATGAGAGACAAATAAAGTAAAAAAAGACATATGAAGAGTGATGAGAGACAAATAAAGTAAAAAAAGACATATGAAGAGTGATGAGAGACAAATAAAGTAAAAAAAGACATATGAAGAGTGATGAGAGACAAATAAAGTAGCAAAAGAAAAAAGAATGAAAAAAGAGATAATGAACCAAGAATATAGTTTTTTAAATAAAAAAAATAGATTAGAAGGAAGTTTTTTAGAAAAAAAAATTGAGAAGATAGACATATCTATTAGAAAGGAAGAGGTGACTATAACATTTCCCTTATTGTTATAATTCAATTTATATATATTTTTATGCTTCTACTAAATCATTTTTTTAAGTTTTAATATATCTTTTGACATTGAAGTTTTTTAAAATTTTCAATTAAGTTCTTAAACTAAAAAAGAATTATAATTGAATTCTTAGTACTTTTTAATTTTTGTAATTAGATTTCTAGCATTAATGAAATCATAAATTGTTACTTTTTGACGGTCTGAAATCGTCACAAATTAATTACAAAGACTCAATTACAAAAATATAAAATATTAGGAGCTTGTTCACAAAATTTGTAAGTTTAAAGACTTATTTAAAAATCTTCAAAATGTTAACTAATTAATATATTAAACTTTTTTTTAGATGTACAGAAATTGATTGCTCAACTAATTAATTCTGAATCTCATGATCAATCCATCTAAAATTATTTATGGATGACTTTTAAATAGTAATTTATTATAAAGTTAATAAATTTTTAAAAAATAAAAAAGAAAAATTAATACATTAACTACATGTTAACTTTTAATATGATGGTCATGTAAAAAAATTATAGTTTAATTAAATTCTTATTTTTAAGTTATCAAAATTTCGTAAAAAATCTTTTTTCTCCTATTTTATTTATCTTATTCATTTCATTTTTATTTATTATTACACGTGTGTTGCATTTTATAAAAAAAACGGAACTAGCATTTGTTTTAAAGAAAGTAAGAACATGCACATGAAAATTGCACATGACATTTTTTACTTACACACGTAATTAAATGTATTTTGTATTTGTAAATATGGTTAGTTTTAGGTGATTAACCACGTGAGTTGATATTACTCTAAGAAAATATTACTAGAGTTTTGTAATTATTCCTTCCCTTCATATATATATATATATATATATATATATATATAT